TATTGATCGCCAGCCACTGAAGGGAGATCACCATACTAGGGACCATGGGGACTCACAGTACCTTTGCTACCTGCATGGACCACAGCATGGATCCCAGCATGGATCCTAGCAATGATCACAGCAGGATTTACACCAACCTGTTAGTCGCTGGCGATTGTCCGCATGTTTAGCCAAAATTAAAATGACAAATATTCTTTCTTTCTTTCTTTCTTGTTTAACGCCGCACTCAGTAATATTCCATCTATATGACGGCGGTCTGTAAATAAATGAGACAATCCAGTGATTGAAATCATGAGCATCGATCCACGCTTTTGGGATACACTGCCATTCATCAACCATGTCAGCGAGCATGACCACCCGACCCCGTTAGTCGCCTCTTAAGACAAGCATAGTCGCCTTTTACGGCAAGCATGGGATGCTGAAGACCTATCCTACCCCGGATCTTCACGGATCGACAAATTTTCTACGTTCAAATGAGTAGCATATATAATATTCACTGAATGAAATGGGATAATGGGTCCCAGGGGGACAATAATTTTTCACTACTTTAACCCTCTTAGTGGATACAGCCACTAACAATCTCAGATATAAATTCATTCTACAAAATTTAAGGTCATATAGTTTTTACAAAACATATGATTCAAATTTTATTATGCTATTCTATTGCTTTAAAAACAATAATTAAATGAGAGCTACTATTATTAAAAAGATCCTTCATGGATGAAACCTTGAAATAGTTATCTCTTGTGATTAAAAAATCAACACAGTCAAGCAGGACATGCTAGACGGTGATTCTTTCATCACAAGGGATACAAAATGGAGGATCCTCACCTTTCAATAAGTCCCATGTGTATATCTGGTATAGCCAATACGACATCGTCTGAATATGACCTCTTCAAATCTGGACTGACCACCCAAGTAGGTGTAACCGATATTTAGTTTTATTACATGTAATTTATTTATATCAACGTGGGTGTCTCCCCATCTTCTGCTTTTGATCTCTGATGTAACATCTAATTACAGGTTTATAGTTGGTTAGTTGGTTGGTTGGTTGTTTAACGCCGCACTCAGCAATATTCCAGCTATATGGCGGCGGTCTGTAAATAATCGAGTCTGGACCAGACAATCCAGTGATTAATATCATGAGCATCGATTCACGCAATTGGGACCGATGACATGCATCAACCAAGTCAGCGAGCCTGACCACCCGATCCCGTTAGTCGCCTCTTACGACAGGCATAGTCGCCTCGTACGGCAAGCATGGGTTGTTGAAGACCTATTCTACCCCGGATCTTTAGCTGCAGAGTTTATCAAACTTAATTACTGTTCATATAAAATTCAGGTTTAAAACATCATAGAAATAATTAAACTTGCAACAAAGTTAAAACTTCTTGGAGAGTGGACGTGAATATATGGAAACACGACAATACAAAATAATAATATTTCTAACTGGCCAATATATTGAACATCTTGGAATACTTCCCCAGTAATATTTCGAGTAACACACGATATATTATATGAATATGAACTTAAACTTTACAAGGACGATTCCTGCAATGGTGTTCCACTAATATGCTCAAATAATGTGATCCGTTTTTTAAAACAGCAGCGCCATGGCAGCCATTTTGGAAATGTCAATCATACATTCTTTTGCATTATCATTATGAAATTAGATATTCCGATTTATTGGAAATAATTTATCAAAGTTATAATTTTGTCATTGTTTGATGTATTTGGCGTACTTAATGTACACGTTACCCCGTGGGAACTATTGCTTGTCGTGATCGTGAAGCAATTGCGTGATTTTCGACAATTCTAAGTTGCTACAGTGTGTACATACTCCAGGGAATTGTGTCCCTAAATACGGCTCAACAATTTCTAATCCAATATAAACATGGCTGCCATTGGAGTCACATTGAAAAACGTTAAGATGACATAACCCTGCCATTTCTGACTGTGCCTTTATGGTTTGGTTTGGTTTGGTTTCTTTGTTTTTAACAAATGGCAATACGAAGGTATGTGATGAGCCTTACCAGACTGACTTAATAAGGAAAAACCTGATGCTTGCTCATCTGATTCTTATATTCTTATATGAATAGGACTTTCTGCCGGGAATGGCAATTTTAAAACACGGGAATTTAAGCTTGACTTAAATATCAGGTATATCAGCCAATTCTCTTACACTTATTTACCCACCTAAACCAGAAATAAAAAAGAAACTGTCTCATCTGTCAAGATCTAGATCTCATTCAGATCTATGCATTAAATTCGGCACTTACATTCGGTCATTCCAACCATATCGTTAATTCACCATCAGCTTTCCGATCGACCAAGACCTGGGTCATCAACAGGCTACCCGGTCGCGGTTGTTTGCCTGTCATATTCAATCACCATCTACCCGCTCACAGGTAGGTGCTCTAGTCACTCACTCACTCATTCCAGCCAGGCTACACTGGCGACCAGGGACAAGGAGTCGGGGTCCGAGAACCCTCCTTGTGCAGCCTGGCTGGAAACAATGCAATGAGAATCCCCCTGCCAAATATATTTTTATAATTTGTAATAATAAATTGTTTCTAGACATTAATATTGTGTTTGTTGATTGTCATTATAAATACAAGACTGTATGACAAGAGGGATGACTTCAACTTTCCAGCAGTCAACTTTCCCTTCACTTCGAGCTACATTCCAGCAGCTCCAGCCTTTAATGTGTTTATTTCACAGCTTTTTAGGTATGTTTTTTTTTATCAAAGAGCGCCATATAACTCTTGCTTAAAAGGTTTACATCATTCAATGCCTTAATAAATCTTCAAAACGTGTTATGGTACACATGTTGAGGACACATCCAAATTTAAAACTTCAGTGGCAAAAATGATGTCCGATTCAATTTCCTACTGTGAATGCTACAATATGTTCTCGTGTTATTTCTGGTGAACACATGAATTGCCTTTGCATGTGTTTGTGACGGATGCCACAAGTGGGACCGGGTACGCTCACCTTTTCGCGAACACCCGGTATCATCAGTTATTGATAGTGATTCATAAACACATGTTAATGACGGAATCGGGATCGTACAACGGACCCTGCTTTTAGCAGACTTCTCATGATTATGGAAATAGTTTTGTTGCTTTTTGTACCGCATATATCATATACAGTATTTCGAATGAAAGATCTATAGAGATCTATCACATATAGTATACACAATATTCAGGACGGTAGATAGGGGAGGTTATATATGCACGGTAATGTATACTTCTATAGTGTTATGTACGTTTCAGCCATCAGTTTTCGGACTTGGGAATTACTATTTCTGTTTCTTAGAGGAGACTGAATTTCCCCAACACTGGATAACACGCAATGAGCAAAATAACCTACACCCTTTGCTGGTATTAACGACAAACATGGGATCCTGGGAACTTTTTCCTAGCCCAGGAGGCACAAATCATTTGACACCATTTTAACAGAAATAAGTATTCCAGACAGCACCACCTGCACACCTGCAGCCATATGCATCACCTTCAATTTACTGGAACTGTTTTATAAAGGTGAGGGGAGGTAAAATGGGGCTTACGTCGCGTCCATTATTATTGCACTTATATAGCGACGTGCAGTGTCTCTGTGTGTGTGTGTAGTGTGAAGCGCATTTCTGGTGTCCCCCGCCGTGATATTGCTGGAATATTGCTAAAAGCGGCGTAAAACCGCACTCACTCACTAACCCACTGTGTATGTGTGTGTGTGGCTGCTTGTACTAGTCCGGACTAATGCCGATTTATAGTGCTAGCCCACTGAGATACCATGGCGCAGTTTAACATGAATACCCAACTCAGACACAGTACAATGACTCCGAGCCGACCAGGTCTTGTTTTATCCCTTCAATGCCGAGCGCAAGGCAGAGTAACAACAAGTACCATCTTTTGGTATGATGCGGCCGGGGATCGAACCCCCGACCTTCCGCTCCCCGGGCGGATGCTCTACCACTCGACCACGGAGGCGGGCCTTTTTTCATCCTATATCAAGGGTTATGGCTGGTTCAGGACAAGGCAGAGTTGTGTCCCTGTGCCGTGCCAGGATCTGTGGATCATTGGTTCTCAGGGGGAGCACTTGACGTCATCAGAAGAGCGTGACGTAACGCATGGTTATAGAAACTCTTCTGCTTCGTTTGTGTGAGTGAGTGGATTAGTTTTAGACACTTTTCATGGCGTGGGACCTCAAGATTGGCTTTATGAATTATACCGATGTTTCAAATCTAACTTCTTTATTCTGTCGACATTTCAGTACAGGTGCTGGTACCTTTATCACGCAAGTACACAGACAGAATTGAAAGAATAAAGACCTTGCAATCCATAAAATTAAGTCTACCCATCTTCACTGATACTACGGGGGGCGGTCGGGTAGCCTGGAGGTTAAAGCGTTCGCTCATCACGCCGAAGATCCGGGTTCGATTCCCGACATGGGTACAATGGGTGAAGCCCAATTTCGGTGTCCCCCGCCGTGATATTGCTGGAATATTGCTAAAAGCGGCCTAAAACCGTACTCACTCACTCAGTCACTGATACTACGTGAAGATCCCGGTTAGAATAAGTCTTCAGCAATCCATGCTTGTCGTCGGAAGCGACTAAAGGGATCGGGTGGTCAGGCTCGCTGACTTGGTTGATGCATGTCATTGTATCCCAAACAGCCAACCAGCTGCGTGGATCGATGCTCAGGCTATCAATCACTGGATTGTCTGGTCCAGACTCGATTATTTACAGACCGCCGTCAAATAGCTGGAATATTGCTGAGTGTGGCGTTAAACAACAAACAAACTAAGGCTTTAACAATTCTGCAACATCTCCGCCCCTGCTTCGTTTGAATTTTTAATAATGTAAAAATTTATTAGTGCAGTATTACGGATACTCAATGCCTGCGCGCGAGGTATATTTCATGTGATGGAGATATAAGTATGCATATCCAAAAGCGCTGACGTGTTCATTTCAACCAAATGAATTAAAACAAACAATCCGTTAAACATTACCAGAATTTATTTATTTATAAAGTACATATCTGACTTTGTTCGACTCATTTTGTACAAATCAAGTCCATTGGTCATGTGTCCTATGTTGTAACTCCGCACGGGAATCAGTTATGCTTCAAGTGGGAAGATGCGGCTAAGAAGTCGACATTGCAGCAACTGCTGCGTGAGACCTGTCAATCAACAAGAAAATTAACAAACATCAAGTTTCCATAGTTACAAAGTTACTTTATGAATGCTTGTGTATTGTGGGTATTTGTAAATATAATTATTTTTTTAAATATAAAAAAAGTAATGGAACACATGAAACATCGCACGACATTTATTATGGGAATTATTGCCCTTCTACGTTTGATACATGCTTATGATATCATAATAATGTTCAAATGCACCAACTAGGAATACGTATTTCACTTTTACCAACATCATTAATGCTACGAGAAAGATTAGTGAAAAGGTCAAACTATAAGCAGCTAGGAACATTCAGTGATTGTTTGTTTGTTTGTTTGTGTTAACGCCGCACTTAGCAATATCCCAGCTATATGACGGCGGTCTTAATCAAGTCTAGACCCGACAATCTAGTGATTCACATCATGATCATCGATCCACACAATTGGGATTGATGACATGCAATCAACCAAGTCAGCGAACCTGACCACCCGATCCCGTCAGTCGCCTCTTACGGCAAGCACGGATCCAGTGAATGTCTTCTAAGAAGCTACATATAGATGTTCCAAAACTTAAAATATTAGGAAACAGTATATATGTATCCTTTAACATGGCAATATGAATGTATGTTAATCGGTCTCCGGCTTGATGTTATAATCAGTCCAACAATCGAAGTTGCCATAGTTTGTATTTCTTGAATATATCTTAACCCCTATTCAGTGTATGTAGAATGCTTTAAAGCGATAGAAACAAATGTCAGTAGGCAGTCAGTGTAATTAATATGCGTAACGACTGATTCTAATCTCAGCAATTTGTCAGTTATCCTAAAATGATGCACGTACAGTATATTTCGTGTTATAGGAACAACGTGATCAAAATTATAAGAACATATCATTTTCAAACACAGATTCACAAAAAGTGCCTTGCTTCTTAGAGAATAGGGGGCATGGGTGGCCCAGTCGTCTAAGGCGCCGCGATTCGCTGTGCAGAGTTGCGTCCCTTGGTCACGCCAGAAACCTAGATTGTGGGTTCGAATCCCGGTTCGCCCAGATTATGTTTCTAGGTTTGTCAGCACCATACCCATACTCGTGGGTTTCACCGAAGTGGTAAACGTCTGGGACCTGCATCACTTCGGGCTTTCCTCCCACATTAAGCTGACACGCCGTGATATAACTGGAATACTAGTACTGTTAAAAGCGGCGTTAACACACAACTCACTCACCCTCACTCACTTAGAGAATAACCAACGAACTCCGAGTAAATACGGAATATCAGTCCAGAGTGAGTGAGGTGTGTAGAAAACTAAGAAAACCGAATGAAATGTCAACCCTACACAGAAACTTCCCTGAAGGCAGATTATTGTTCAGATTACGTCATGATATATATGTGTAAGGCCATGAGCATTAAATGACGTCATATCGTACTGTTCTCAACAATAAAGCAATGTGACGTCATGTCGCTTCAAATGAACATTCAGCGTAGAGAACCGACACACGTATGCACTTATCGAAAGGTTATAACAACCTATTTTTCTACCCTGCTGGGTTATATATAAAGTTATTACCTGAACTGCCAAAGAGGCCTCCTCCACTGCCCCTGGCCCCGCCTGTACCCCCCAGCAGGCCGCCAGTCCCCCCTCCACTCAGAGCTAGCAGAGCCCCGAGCCCACCTAGGCCTGAAGACAAGAACATGAACATCATGTAAATATATCCAGCACTGCTTTGCGGTTGACTATAACATGTTCTTATAGAGTTATCATGACTCCTTTGTACAAAAAGATGTTAGTGCTACGGCTATGGTAAACCCATCGGAGTTACGACCAACTCAGCGTTAAGGTAGCTTTAAGCAACGGGACCCTGACTTGTTTCAGGAAACATAATACTGTTCTCTTTCAATGCTTCAAGACATGCAATGTCTCTCTGGAGCCAGACAATATTTTTCATCGGAGCAAATAATTGTATCATGACATCCAATGTAAAGGCATATGTTTTGGATAGCTTTTTCATTTTTTTTCTCGTTTAAAGCCGCTCTCGGCAATATTCCAGCTATATGGCGGTGGTCTGTACATAGTCTGGACCAAATAACCCAGTGATTGACATCATGAGCATCGCTCCACGTAATTGGGATACGATGACAAGGATCCAGCCACCTCACAGAGACTGACTACCCGATTCTTATAGTCGCCTTCTTCCACATAACGATAGTCTTACCCTTTTTGGCTCACATCAGCAGGTACTGAAAGGTATGCCTACACGAAAACAACTGCCATATGCCACCTGCCAGTGTTGAAATATACAGTGAAAGACAGACAGTACGGTCCCGTAATCCCACAATCCCTATTAACCGGACGATAATCTTTTAGAACGTCCATGTAAAACGACGCCATATTTCAAAACACCCATGATTCGTTTATCCGGACATTTGTCCACCAAAACGGTTTCACTAGGAACGGCACCGCCCGGATTAACGGGGCTTCATTGTATACGAGAAAATATTCTGGCTGAAGTAAAGCATCTGAAATTTCATAAAGAACGATCTCTGCAAGCATTACGCATTGATGAAACTAAGTTGAAGTTCTACGTGTCGTCGACGGTTTACCTTGAGCCGAGGCAGTCGATGCAAAGACGACGAGGAGGGCGACAAATACAAGAGAGAATTTCATGATGCTGGTCCTTGAGTTGACCTGTACTCTATTGATATCTTGAGATCTATTCAGCTTGTTAATTGCTACTGGTTGTCTGCGTATTTATAGCAAACAGATGTTTCTAAAAAGAAACTGATAGTTCTTCTGGGTTCATGTGTCAGTTCAGCACAGTAATTACAAGTATATTTTTTTCGTCTTCAAAGCAATTAATGTACTAAAAGAATAAACGAGCTGACAACCCCTCTGTTTACATGATGGACGTGCGTCCTTTACAAGTGATGTACTCATATTGGGGCACATGAGTTATCGTTGAATGACAGCGGCCTTGTATGCTTGTGACTTTTGACTGACACAGTTCGCCTCACTTTAGATTTCTTTTCCACTATGCTTGTCGTAAAAGGCGACTAACGGGATCGGGTGGTCAGGCTCGCTGACTTGGTTGATACATGTCATCGATCCCAATCGATGCTCACGATATCAATCACTGGATTGTCTGGTCCTGACTCGATTATTTACAGACCGCCGTCATGTGCGTGCGTGCGTGCGTCTACTAGTCCGGACTGATGCCGATTTTGCGTGCGTGCGTGCGTGCGTGCGTGCGTGCGTGCGTGCGTCTACTAGTCCGGACTGATGCCGATTTTTATAATGCTAGTTCACTGAGATATCATGCCGCAGTTTAACATGAATACCCCATTCAGACACAGTATACTGACTCCGAGCCGACCAGTCCTTGCTTTATGCCCCCATCTCACAACGACCACGAATATCCCCAATCACCCCGAATAGGAAATTTTCATGTTCGCAGATAAATCTCAATCATTTCTTGAAGTTCTTAAATGAATCTTATTTGAATCCCAAACATTCGTACAGTTCGCGGGAGTTCGGCGAGAAAGTTTTTGAAGGGAAGGGTCCCCGAATTGCAATTTCGTGGCTGTATCGTAATCCATTCGTAATTAACAGCTTCGCAATCGATTCTTTTGCATTCTTGGCTATTCTTAGCGATTCGTGACTCCCAAAATGTCTTGTCCTCAACCCGAATTAAACATCCCGAAACAGACACGAATGTCCCGAGTCAACTACGAATAATGTAAGAATTAAGTAAGAACAATATTCGGCATATTTGTAACTTAAGTCGTAGGTGATTCTTACAATTCGTGCATGGTCCGTACATGAATCTTGTAATTCGTACATGTTCCTTAACCCATTCCTGGCTTTCTTCATATTCTGCAACCCGATGAACCACGAATGTTTGCATTATTGGCCGAATCATCACGAATTTCGAAAGTTTCCGATTCGGGGATATCCGTGGTCGTAGTGAAAGGGGGGCCACAATATTAGCCCATTAATGCCTAGCGCCAGACAGGGTTACAACAAGTACCATCTTTTGAATTCTGTTGGATCGAACCCCGGACCTTCTGCTCTTCGGGCGGACGCTCTACCACTAGACCACGGAGGCGGTCTGCAGACATGAGATCCAATATAGAACTACTTGCATGATGCCCGTATCACATACATCACCAAGGATAACCAGTGCTTGGTTCTTTCATGTTTAGCCACCATCAAACAAGGGCGGGTACATTCGTTTGCCCGGCAGTGTACCTATGCTGAAGTCGCGACTAAATGGATCGGGTGGTCAGTCTTGGTGACTTAGTTGGTTGTGTGTCATCGTATACCTGTTGCGTTGATCAATGCTCATGATGTGAATCCCTGGATTGTCTATTTACAGATCGCCGTCGCATAGTTGGTTGGTTGGTTGGTTTGTTGTTTAACGCCGCACTCAGCAGTATTCCAGCTATACGACGGCGGTCTGTAAATAATCGAGTGTGGACCAGACAATCCAGTGATTAATATCATGAGCATCGATCCACGCAATTGGGATCGATGACATGCATCAACCAAGTCAGCGAGCCTGACCACTCGATCCCGTTAGTCGCCTTTTACGACAAGCATAGTCACCTTTTACGGCAAGCATGGGTGCTGAAGACCTATTCTACCCCGGAATCTTCACGGGTCCCGTCGCATAGTATGAATATTGCTGAGTGCAGTGTTAAACAACAAACAAAGAAAATGCGTCGCTATTATCACAAGTACAGGTCGTTCGGGGCCAATTCGTACCCGGAATTATTGAAGAGCGAAAGTCACACGTACAAACGAACTCAACACGAACTAAATTCGAAAATGTGGATGGGATTATTGTCGATACAAGTATGGCATCTCTGTATGTATTTTTTTCGTAAAAGTTGTGATCGCAAACAAATTAATTTGTCAGTAATCTTCGCGTGTGGTTTGAGATATTACACTGCATTGTACAAGCTCCTTACAGCGAAACGGCGTCGCGTCATGTATATTGACATTGGCTTGTGATGAAGCTGGTGCGTAGAGCCTAAAACATAATATAAGGAAATTGCCGTCTGTGGCAGACCTGGGCCCACTTGCACAAAGCGATCTTAGCGTTAAGACTATTGTAAGCCTATGTTAAAGTATGGGAGTAAGGATCATCTTAGCGCTAAGATCGCTTTGTGCAAGCGGGCCCTGGTAATATGCATCGTCATTCTCCGTATATTTTCAAATTGATCTAAACAATAAACATGGTAGTAAGTTTTCATACAGGGTAATACAACTTATAGTAGATTACGTAAAATGGTTATGTTGTGTCATAAGTATTTCTGATTACCGGTTGTATGATCAACATGATAAACGGGATCGGGTGGTCAGGCTCGCTGACTTAGTTGATTGCACATGATCGTATCCCAATTGCGTGGTTCGATGCTCATGATGTCAATCACGGGATTATCTGACCCAGGCTCGATTATTTACAAGCCGCCGTCATATAGCTGGAATTTTGCTGCGTATGGCTTTAAACAACAAACAAACAAATGTAAATATGGGTGTCATTTATGTCTTATGAATATAGGAAGGGTTTCGTCAGGTGTACTTACCACACTAAATGATAATGTCAATGTTATTATTGTAGTCATTAAAGATTTAATCTTCCATCATTGAAAACAATATGTCTCACAAAAATATAATGCTTTACAATTGAAAGCTCTGAATGAAGTTTGCGGAATATTAAACAAATACAAAAGCGATAACATACTAGTATTCCAAATGAGACCATAACAGGCTCTACACGTCGGTCAATTTGCCTCCATTGTTTGAAAAGAAAACATGTTTTACAACTCTATCATGTCCATCAGTAAGTTTATTAACCTAATGTTTATGTACTAGTAAGCTTATTTCTGAGAAAGAATATAATATATATGTCCCCAGCAACCCAGGCTTGCCGTAAGAGGCGACTACATGGATGGGTGGTCAGGCTCGCTGTTTGATTGCATGTCATCGTATCGCAACTGCCTTGATCAATTATCATGATGGCAATCACTGGATTGTCTGGTCAAGTTACGGACCGTTGCCATACAGATGGAATACTGCAAGGTGCAGCGTTAAACAACAAACGCACACATATTTATATACTGTCAATATGTATGAATACAATGAGAAAATGTGGAAGAAGAAAAAAATGTTTGATATACACTGAAACGTCGGCCCCAACAAAAACGTCCGATGGGTGGGGTTTCCAGATTAACGGTGTTTCACTGTGCCAAGAAGAAGGAAGTCAAAGAAATATGTCACCTGATCCCCTATTAAGGACAGGGGCGGTTGGGTAGTCTAGTGGTTAAAGCGTTCGCTCGTCACACCGAAGACCCGGGTTCATTTTTCACATGGGTATAATGTTTTAAGCCAACATCTGGTGTCCCCCGCCGCGATAGCCCTGGGATATTGCTAAAAGCGGCGTAAAACCATACTCAAACTCACTCACTTTATTAAGAACACGTGTCAAGCAAAAAAACTGTCAGGCAAAAGGAAAAAGACAACCATGTTTGATGGTGGCTATAACTGAAACAACCAAAAAATGGCTAGTCGATAGTGATGTATGTGGTACCCTATCATTGGCAATATTAGATGCATCAT